AACACCATATGAGTTGTGGAAAGGGAGAAAACCCAATCTCACCTATTTTCATACATTTGGTTGTAAATGTTTTGTACTTGTTAATTGAAAGTCTCATTTAAAGACTTTTGACGAGCGAGCGGATGAAGGAACATTCTTGGGATATTCATCTACTAGCAAGGCGTACAGAATATTCAACAAATCAACGATGATTGTAGAATAATCAATTCACGTCGTGTTAGACGAAAACCACGACAAAAATGGCAAAGATAATGGAGGTAATTGTGAATTAAATAATTCTAACGATATTTTCAAAGATAATTTGTTGCAGGAAGTAGAAGAATTAAGTGATATAGATATTCACCAAATTGAGACAGTATTCAATGTGACACCCAAAGTATCACCCACAACCGAAATTGCACCCTGGATACTAACGGAAGAAATTCCAGTCGAAGTACCCGAAGGCGTACCCGAAGATGTACTCGTCAACAATTCACAACAAGTGGTATTTCAACAAGAAGGAAACTCTGAGAATCCAATGAATTTTCAACCAAATCAAAAGTGGCTAAGAAATCACTCACATGAGTTAGTCATTGGAGATCCGAGAGACAGAGTTAGAACACGATCATCTACAAGGAATGCAATGTTCTCTTGTTTTCTATCGCAACTGGAACCAAAAGAAATTGATGAAGCTTTAGCCGATCCAAGTTGGATAGATGCAATGCAAGAGGAATTAGATCAATTCAAACGCAACGACGTATGGGAACTTGTTCCAATACCAACGCACCAAAATGTAATTGGCACTAAATGGGTCTTTAGGAACAAAGCAAACGAAGATGGCGTCATTGTCAGGAATAAAGCGAAATTAGTCGCAAAGGGGTATTCATAAGAAGAAGACATAGATTTTGATGAGACATTCGCCCCCGTCGCACGACTCGAAGCAATCCGAATATTCCTAGCATATGTAGCCTACAAGAATTTCACTGTGTATCAAATGGCTGTAAAGAGTGCATTTCTCAATGGGTTACTTGAAGAAGAAGTATACGTTGAGCAACCACCCGGTTTTGAGGTAAAAAGCGTTGGTGATCAAGTCTACAAATTAATGAAGGCATTGTATGGGATAAAACAAGCTCTGCGAGCTTGGTACGACACCTTGTCAATGTTCTTAATTAGCTGTGGATTCACCAAAGGTCTAGTCCATAAAACTCTCTTTCGAATTCAAGAAAATAATAACATTTTATTAGTACAAATTTATGTTGATGATATTATTTTTGGAAGTACTGATAAATCTTTATGTGAGAAATTCTCTAAGCTCATGTAGAACAATTTCGAAATCAACTTGATGAAGGAATTTTCATAAATCAAGCCAAGTACACAAGAAATCTTATCAAGAAATTTGGCTTAGATGGAAAATCTTCAGTCAAAATTCCCATGAGTACATCTCAAAAATTGGATAAAGATGATGAAGGAAAAGATGTCGACCAAATGATGTATCGAGGGATCAACACAAAGCAACACACCATGCAAGGTGGACCAAGTACAAAATTACGAGACAAAGCTTCTTATCATACACAACTATGAAGTTTTTGCAGAGGTTCCAATTTTTCATTCTACATGGATTGTGAAGAAGAAAATGGCCGAGATATTTTTATCTGAACAACAACATTTGCGATAGAACTAGAGACACTCGAAGAAGGCTGATTCACGAAGATATATTTTCATACTCAAGCAAGAATCAGCAGATGAATTATTTAATCAACTTAATACGTCAGAACATTTATGAAGATAAAGGAAAGTCAAGCTAGCCACGCCTAACTTATTCAAATCTTGGATGCTACAAGTTTCAAGAGACGACATCGGGAAAAATATTCAAAATATCTGACAAAAGGCAAATGACCTTTACCTAACGTTGCAGATCAAGTTGAAAATTTTATTTTGATCAACTACATACGAAGATGGACGATTGAGATCGAAAGTTGATCAACGGGCAAATAGCTCTTATTGACTATAAATTGTCCAAGCAGACTCGAAGACTAGCACGATTTCGAAACTGATGAACAACGAAGAATATCCAATCAAACATCAAGTGATATATTGAGCTATACACGTTAGAATTCATATTTGAGTGAGAGAGAAATATTTCATTTCATTGTAAACATCTCTACTGGGTGTAGAAAGAGGTTGGGGGTAACTAGAGAGAGTGAAAAACCTTGGTTGAGTGTAGCTTTGTGCGTAGCACTCATTGTAAAGGGTAGAGTAACAAGGGGAGCTTGTGAAAACCCTGTGAGAGCGTAGCTTTGTGCGTAGTTCTCGTGGTGTAGGAGTACAGCTTGGTGCGACGTACTCGGGAAGGCGGAGTAACAAGAGGAACTTGCGAAAAAACTTGGAGGAGTGTAGCTTTGTGCAAAGCACTCGGGAAGTATCGGTGGACACTGATTCACTATTGTATCTAGGTGATCGAAGAATAGTGAATTTCCTCTTTGGAGTGAAGGGAGAAGAGTGGAGTAGGAGAATTACACTATCTCCAAACCACTATAAATTGCTCTCTCTCTCTCTCTCTCTCTCTCTCTCTCTCTCTCTCTCTCTCTCTCTCTCTCTCTTTTTCTTTACTTACTGCTCATTTATTTTGTGCATGCTTATCAAAACAATGAATTAACCCGATTACCATTCATCACATATAGTTAAGTGTCTGGGTTTGATAGTTCTCACGTTCGCATGCAAGCCAAACTTTACATACATCATACTTAGACTATATTAAGTGTTTTGAACGTATTGCATGTAAAAGAACTCATCCTCGAGCACTGCACAATCAAGCATAACACTTTACCGTTAACTATTCCGTTGTGCACTCTAAGTTGTTTAATTGTTTATGCTTATTACTTGGAGTTGAAATTACCAAAGTGTTATTTATTTGCAAAAGTTTGAACAGTTAGAGAAGTCTATTCACCCTCCCTCTAGACTTCTCACCACCCCTTTTGGGACCAACAAGTGGTATCAGAGCGGTTGTCTATTTGAGTCATTTTTTACTGCTAGATAGATATTGTTAGGAATAAATTGTAATAGATTTTGATAAGCCATATTGTAATTCGTAGATCCCCAATTTTATTTTATTAGACTAGTCGAGTCTTAGACCAAGAAAGGGAAAAATAAATTCATTAGTTGGGGAAATGGATGAAGAAGATATCAAGCCAAAAATTAAGAATTTGTCTAGTGAAAATGGCAAACAGAAGAGGAAGATGTATGCGTATGAAATTTGAGAAAATCCCTCAAGAAATCCCGAAGAAGAAAGAACGTGACTTGAAGTTTGCATGAAGCTATCTTGAAGATCAAGCATCTATGGAAAGAAAGGAGTACAGCAAGTGGAACAAGAAGATAACCAATAGGCTGTACGGATGAGATGGTAGAAGCTTGAAATATTATGTGTAAGGTCACAGGTTTGAATCTCACATCCCATATATTTTAAGAAGCCAAGTTAAAATTCCATCTGATCAAGTAAGATGCGATGGTTTGGCCGAAGGGATACAATTTGCAAGTCTATGGGATGAGATTTCAAGGGATGCAGTTTCTCAAATTGGTCTCAAATTGGTATCCCAAACAAATTGGAACCCCGAAATTGAAATTGGGATGCAATTTCATCATAAGAATTGATTGGTACAGGGAAATCAATTTGAAGGGATGAGATTTACAAGGCTTCAATTCAATTGGAGATATAGATTGCAAGGGATGAGATTGCAATTCCAAATCAAGTAAGGGATGAGAATTCAATTGACAAATCTAGCAAGGGATAGAGATTTCATTTCCCAAGATAGAGATTTCATTTCCCAAAATAGAAAGGGATGAAGTTTCACAAGGGAAGAGATTTCCAAGTCAATTGAAGAGATGAAGTCTGGAAGCAGTCTACAGACCCAGACACGCGAAGTGGGATTATATTGGAGAATATATTTTGAAGATAAAAATCCCAAGAGGCGTGATCTACACCAGATGGAGATTCATGGGACGCCATTTTTGCTGAAACCTTAAGCTCAATTTGAAATATCTGACAAGATCTGCAACGTTATCTTATCTTCTGACAAAAGGCTATACAGCTAAGCAAAATTCGAAAATGAGACCGTTTCTTTCCAACGGACGGATTCTCATTACCAGCTATAAATAGATGAAGATTGAAGCAGTGAGAAGCAGAAGCAAAGAAGCAAGAAAAGCAAAAGAGCAAAGAACAGAGCTAAACAGAGCATACAAATTCAAAGAAAGCTTTCCATCTCAGGAGCTTAAATTGATATATCTTTTGTGAGATAAACACTCAGAGTGATACAGAGCTTAGAAAAGAAATATCCAAGAGTGTTAAAATCTTCATCAACTTCAAGAGATTCAGCGCATCAACGAAGATCATCTACAGAATCTCAAAGTTGGAAGCAAGGCAAAACTTGTTTTGGAGCAAAACAAGGGAAAGGAGGAAAGTAACACGGAGTTGTGAAATCCTGGATTGTCACACGGAGTTGTGAGATCCGAAGCAGCAGTGTCGGGAAGACATTGGGCGTGATTGGTGTGGGCTTGGTGATCAAAGCACCAGATCACGGGATACGTTTCTACCGGATCGTAGAAGACGGGGGGAAAGTAGCACGGAGTTGTGAAATCCTGGGAAAGTAACGCGGCGACGTGAAACCCGAAGCAGCAGTGTTGGAGGCACTGGGCGTGATTAGTGTGGGCTTGGTGATCAAAGCACTAGATCACGGAATTCATTGTATCTTGGAACCAAGAAGTGGTGGATATAGTGAATTGGCTCTTTGAGAAGAGCAAGTGGAGTAGGAGGATTACATCACCTCGCGAACCACTATAAATTGCCTTGTGTTCTTTACTACTTTCTTTACATATCGCTCTTGTTTGCTTCTCACGTCAATAATCTTGACACAATCTACACACACACCGTATCGTTTATTTAATTCCGCTGTGCATCGGACTCTAACAATCTAGTTAAGAGTCTTGGTTTATCTCTGGCTTACCTTTTGTTATCTTGTGCGAAAAAGTTTGAAAGTCTATTCACCCCCCCCCCCCCCCCTCTAGACTTTCACCTTACCTCTTTTGGGACCAACAGATATCAAAACTTCAAGATGAAGAGAGGTATGGTTCTTGCTCAAAATTTACATTTCTCACTTGACAAATTTGATGATTGGAAAATACGTATGCAGATGCACTTATCTGCTGTAAATGATGAAATGTGGGAAGTCATCACAAATGGCCCTATCTTGATAATGTAGGTCAATACCGCCATTGCACTAGATCCGAATGCTCCACACTATTTTACAAAGCCAAAAATGGAGTGGACGAGTGAAGATAGATGGCGAAATAACTTGGACAATATTGTCAAGGATATTTTGTTCAAAGCCGTGGAAACTGCACTACGACAAAAGAAATATGGGATACACTTATCGGTATCGGAGAAGGCGACGAACAAGAAAATGACAACAAACTAACCATCGCCATGAACAGGTTTGAAGATTTCAAAATGCTTCCAAGCGGAAGCATTACCGAAATGGAAGCACGATAAATAAAAATCTTGGGAGAGATCACGGATCTGGGAAAGACCATCACCCAAAAGGAAATATCTCTCAAAGTATTGCGTGGATTACCTTCTAGTTGGGATATGAAAGTAACCGCAATGCGAGATCATAGAAATCTAAGGACATTATCTATGGATAAACTCTTTAGTGATCTTAAGGCATATGAGTTCGAGATGAAGGCAAGAATTGAAGAAGAACGTGATGAACGAACATCCGCATTAATGGCTGGTCAACCATCCTCATCAAGGTCAGTAGGAAATAATGATTTTTTATCTGACGAACAATTTTATTTATTTGTTAGAAAATTCAAGAAGTTAATGCGGAAGAACAAATGATCGCCTCAAGTAAATTCATTTAGAGAAAATAGAAGATCAAGAAGAGAATCTACCGAAGACAACACAAATGTGTGTTACAATTGTAAGAAGCAAAGATACTTTATGGCCGAATGTCCACACCTCATGGTCAACAAAAATTTGAACACTTCTAACTCTCCACAGGTTGAATACAAGTCGAAAGAGAAGAAATTCAAAACGGACAAGCGGAAGGCACTAATAAGTGATCCACTAGAAACAAGTGAATCCGAAGAATCATCTAGTGACGAGAGTGATTCATCACAAGAAGATACGGTGCTACTATGCTTAGTAGGCAAGACATCCGTTGTGCACTCTAAGTTGTTTAATTGTTTATGCTTAGCTTATTACTTGGAGTTGAAATTACCAAAGTGTTATTTATTTCCAAAAGTTTGAAAAGTTAGAGAAGTCTATTCATCCCTCCCCCCCCCCTAGACTTTTCACCACCCCTTTCGGAACCAACACATGTCCATCCAGTTTCTACTATATATATATATATATATATATATATATAGAGAGAGAGAGAGAGAGAGAGAGAGAGAGAGAGAGAGAGAGAGAGAGAGAGAGAGAGAGAGAGAGAGAGAGAGAGAGAGAGAGAGAGAGAGAGAGAGAGTTGAGTTCAAATGACGACCACTATATTATAGAGGACTGTGCGGACGGGTGTAATCATGTGTCATTAGGCTCTATATCAATAGAGCCTGGGTTCGAAACCTGATGTTTACATGTATTCTTGTGTGCCCGTAAGCAGACTGCACAGTCCTCCCTCAATATATTAGTACCATGCACACAATTTATCAAACAATGGCACACGACATAACATTTAAACATCAGGTTTCGAGTAATAAACCTATGCACACCAGACTCTACATATTTGTCCGCACAGTCCTCTATAATATAGTTGTTCTCATTTGAAATCAACTCTCTCTCATATATATATAGCTCATGAAAAGTGAAGTGTAACAAATATATATATATCGAAGGATGCTATTTTTACCAGAGTAGAAATTGCAAAATAAGAATGTTATGGAAAATCTTTCTACTCCATCTCTATGTTAAGTTAAATAACTTTTTCCACAAAAAAAATGTTTTGTTAAATAACCCCTTTTTTTATTTAAAAAAATGATCGACTTCCCAACAACGAGCGCTTAAACTCAACACTTAAACTAACATCTTTTCTTAATGTCAAAAACTTGTATGAGACCGTCTCATGAATCTTTGTCCGTGAGACGGGTCAGATTGTAGACAATAGATAGGTAAGTATATTACAATTTCAATTATAAGTATTGCAATATTTATCATCAGTAACCATCATTTTACCCTAAAAACTATCACAATTTCACATATACATATTACAATATCTATTATAAGTAACAATTTATTTATTTTAAATTAGTATAATAAACTTTTCTGCAATAAGTATTATGATTATTGGCAAAGTAACAAGTGATCCGTGAGACGGTCTCACATAAGTGTAAATCTTTGATAATTAATATGTAATTTTTCAAAGTTATTATTTTTTAAATTGTTATAAGGTTATCTTTATGAATTATATACATAATTTTGTGAGTTTCTTATAAATTTTCCCTACTAAAAATCAATCAATTATTTTTGAATAAGTCTTATATTAGAATATCTAATGTGAGATATGTATTAATTTTTTTAGCTAAAATATAATATATTTTTTTAAGTCTATAAAAAAAAGAATTACATTTTAGTTAACACACACAAAATCTACTCAATATTTTTTACTTTCACCTAAATCGTATAATAATGAGATAACTCATCCAAAGTATGTGTAAATTACTATATCAAATACAGTAATACAGTCATTAATAAATTATTAAATGATCATTTATTTAGTCCAATTAACCAAATTTAATTAAATTTATTTTTAATATAATTTTTCACAATACTAAATTTAGTATTAATTATATAAAATTTATATATTTAAAAACTAAATTAAAAGTACTTATAATAAAAAAATATATAAATAAAGAAAAAAAATTAGTTTAACCAATCAGTAGTAAATATGACACGTAAAATAGAACAAATGGGATAATAAATACAAAATACAAAATATGTTTACCTGCACTATATGCTATTTTGGATTTAGGACTTACAGAAACAAATTTTTTTAAGGTGTTTCAAATATTAAATAGGTGGTTTGAATACAGAATTTATCATATAGAGCAAAATAGATCGGAAAATTAATGTATTGGCCTCTAGGATAATGGTGAAATCATATTCATGTCCATTCATTTTCTAATACACAAATATTTAGTTCATAAAAAAGTAAAGTGTAACTCATATTAAGAAAAAGAAAAAATTATACTTAAAATTTTTCAAAACTTACATGAGATCAAACCCAATTTGGAGATGAGATCAGAGCTTTAATTTGATGCAGCAGCTAGCAAAAGGCACGGGCAGTGACGTTGTAGAAGTAGAAGGTAGAGCTAATTAAGATACATATGATGGGTTGGTTTGGTTTAGGGTTTAACAGAGAGAGGAGAAAGTTGAAATTGTGCACAACAGTACAGAAGAAATTAAATGAGAGAGGATATATGATAGATGCGGTGAGGAAGATGGAATATTTTCAGATTAAAAAGTGCAAGGAAGAAGATTTGTTCCTTTTTTTTTTTTTTTTTTTTTTTTTTTTTTTTTTTTTTTTTCTAATGAATGATTTAGACTTCCCACCAACTATTATTGACTCACAACCCATTATGTTATATATTAAGACACTAATGAGGCATGCATTTAGCTGTAACCAGAGAATTAGGAGAATAAAGAATGACAATTTGATAGGGGATGAATAATGTAAGAATAAAATATGAATTTAATTTTATTATTTGGTCTATGCGAATAGAAATAGGGTCACACTTGTATGACACCGTCTCACGGATGTAGAAATAGGGTCACACTTGTGTGGATCCTTATAACATGAACAAGTGTAGATCATGAAGTTTGAAAGTAGAATAACTTTTATCAGTATTGGAGTACTACTCCTTGTCTTTAAAAAGGCGGCCTAGCTTCTGTAGATATGTGGTCTGTTGGTTGCATCTTCGTGGAGCTTATGAACAGACAACCTCAGCTCTGTTTCAAGGAAAAGATCATTGGTATCAGATACATATAATAAACAAGGTAAGACTTTTGAAAGACAAATAGTATATATACCTGTAGAAAACATCCTACCTAAGCTATGTGCTACACTTAACTCCCTTAGCCAATTGAGGGTTGAGACTTAACATCTTCTTCTGCAGCTAGATAGCAATCCCTGAACCACATTTCCCAGTCTAATGCAAAGTTTTTATTCTTCCACTTAAACCAAAGTTACAATCAATTAAAAATGTTAGCTTTCAACCAATGAGGTTAAATTTACCAGTGTCTTTACAGTAAAAATTACAGATCAGAACGGCAAAAAAAGTGCACTGCTGGAAATTTTTAATTTTCTGACCACTTTTCCGATCACCAAGAAAAATGGTCGGAAAAAATGCTATTTTTTCACTTTTCCGTCAAAAAAGTATACTGGACGGAAAAGTGGTTTGAAATTCCGACCACATTTACGTAGTGGTCGAAAAAATTTACCGGCCGGTTAAATTTTTTAAATTCAATTTATATTCCCCTCGGTATTTTTTAAAGAACGGTAGCTAAGTATGTTTACTTTTACTCTCTCTACTTTAATTTCTTTTATTTACAGCTGTTCACCTCACACTTCTCTTCACCTCTTCACACTTCACCTCTCAGGCTCTCACGCCTCTCTCTTCGCCTCTTCAACACTTCTCCTCCGCCTGCCTGAAGAACGATGACAGCGCAGCGGTGCTTATGGATGACGCCGCCCACCTCCCTTCTCCAATCTATCGTCCGGCGAACCGCGTTAGATTAGGAACGCTTCTTCGCCTTGGGATCATCGCATCCTCGTCCAGATCTGGAACCGCTTCTTCTGGTCGCCAACAGCTTCGAGAGACGATAAACGCCACTCAAATGCTCGCCTTTCGACCTCAGGTACCCCTTCCGACTGCTTGTTCTCCTTAAATTCTGACTGTATCTGTGATGTATGTATGATGCCCGTGTATCTGGTAGAGATATCGTGGTATAGGGTTTTGTAAGCTCTGCTGCTAACCGAATTACGAGCATGAAGTTTTTGAATTGTTCATAAAGTAACTTTTGGTGTTGGACCTCAGTTATTGAGATTATGGAATAGTATGCCAGTGTAATTTGAGCTGGTGATTCCTGTATTTTGTTTCTCATTCAAGATATGAAGCTTAGATTACATGTTTATTTGTGGATTTATAATGTTGATTGTGATATGCATATTTGTAATTGATGAGTTTTCAGAATTTTTTTATTGTTCTTGATTTTTTTGCAGCCCCGAGAATAAGTGCACCTCCATCAGAAGACAATATGAAGGTAATTGGTATTCTTCTGGGTAGATGAGGGGTGAAGACTCTGTGTTTTTATGCATCATATCATGTTGTATATGTGTTTCATTGGCAAAACTCATTTTATGACATATATTTGGCCCCAGGAATAAGATATGGAGTGATAAATTGAATTACAATGATAAACTGAATGATAATGAGCTTCTTTTTTTTTTTTTTTTTTTTTTTTTTTTTGTGCAAGCATAAGGCGAGTACCTTATATTGAAAATATGGTGTCGATTTACTAAAGCTTGGATGCTGCATTTGTTGCCAATGTCTCTTTGTCATTGTCTTCAGGTAATGATATGCATTTTATCCTCAAAGGATCTTTTTACTATAAACATGATTATGTAATTATGATCTGTTTATTGATGTTTTGTTGGATTTAATTGTGCATTACTTGCCTTTGGAGCAATCTGTTAACTGTACCAGCTGCAGGAAGATCATTGGAGCAGTCTCCTGTCTGTTAAAGATTCTCAACAAGTCAATTCAGTTGCCAAT